TGTATTGTTTTAGCAATCTAGCAAGATCATCATAAGAAGGTGATTCATATTCATCATCATCACTATCGCTATCATCATTACTAGCATGTTCATCACCACTACTATCATCATCATTTGATACCTTGCGTTCACCCTTGGCCATAAGGCATAGGTGTGTAGAGGATGATGGCGGTGGTGGCGGTGAAGATGATGAGTCAATCACAATGGCGGCCACCTTCTCATTATCACTATCATCATCGGATAAGCCACTAGATGAATCAATGTCCGTGAGCCAATCACCGATGATATAAGCCTTTCCACTCTTCTTCTTGTGGAAGTCCTTCTTCTTGCCATCTCTCTTCTTGTATGGCTTGTTCTTTTTCTTCTCATCTTCATCTTCATTGCTTGAGTCATCTTTCTTGCTCTTGTATTTGTTCTTGAACTTGTCTTTCTTGGGCTTGGTGCATTGGTGTGCTAGATGACCAAGTTCTCCACAATTATAGCAATCCATCTTAGAGATTGGCTTTCTTCTAGATTTTGTGAAAAACTTCTTCTTGCCATCGAACTTGATGCCACTCTTGTTGAGCTTCTTTAGCATCTTGGTGGTCTTCTTCACCATAAGAGCAAGACTTGCATCATCAACTTCATCATCACTTGAGCTCTCATACTCAAGTCTTGCTTTACCCTTCTCTTGGCTAGCTTTGAATGCTAAGTCCTTATCTTTCTTCTTGGTAGAGGATGAGCCATCTTGTGATGTGATGTGCATATACATCTTATGAGCATTGATTTTTTCCCAAGATTTGTGTCGGTGTAGCGGTGGAAAGATCACCTTGATGAAGCACGGTCATAATATGCCCATATTTGTCAATGGGGAGGACACTCAATATCTTTCTTACAACATCGGATGGTTGCATTTGAGTAAGTCCAAGCCCATTGATTTCCTCTACAAGAATATTCAAACGTGAATACATTTCATTAGCATATTCTTTAGGAAGCATTTCAAAAGAGTTGAGCTTTTTCATGACAAGATGATAGCGTTCCTCACGCTCACTCTTTGTTCCCTCATGGAGCGCACAAACGTCCGACCATAGTACATGGGCGTCTTTGTGGTTCCTCACCCGATTGAACACATCTTTACAAAGGCCTCTAAAGATGGTGTTTCGAGCCTTTGCATTCCATTTTTCATAATTCACCTCATCGCCTTGATGGTGTATAGCATCCTTAGGTTTTGGAAAGCCTTGTGAGGCGGCTCTAAGTATTCCAACATCTAGAGCTTCTAAGTACGTCTCCATGCGAATTTTCTAATAAGGAAAATCGTTCCCCTCAAAGATAGGAGGAGGTCCATCCCCGTGAGACATCTTTCTCTAGGCGGTTAAGCCTAAATACGTGAGCACGAGGCTCTGATACCAATTGAAAGGATCAAGATGCCCAAGAGGGGGGGGTGAATTGGGCTAATTCTAAATTTCTTTACAATAATAAAATCCTACGGTTAGCCCAATTAACCCCTTGTGCCTAGGAAGTGTTACTAATTGTTCTACCGCACAAAAGACTTGCAACCTATATTTCAATCCTACTCTAGCATGACAATTCTATAAATGTAAAGACAAGAATTGAATTGCTCAAAGTAAATGTTCAAAGTAAATAGAGAATGAGGAACGCGGCGATGTTTTACCGAGGTATCGGAGAGTCGCCACTCCCCACTAGTTCTCGTTGGAGCACCCACGCAAGGGTGTAGCTCCCCCTTGATCCGTGCAAGGATCAAGTGCTCTCTACGGGTTGATTCTTCGACACTCCGTCGCGGTGAATCACCCACAACCGCTCACAACTTGAGTTGGATCATCCACAAGCTCTCCGGATGATCACCAAGCTTCCAATCACCACCAAACTATCTAGGTGATGGCGATCACCAAGAGTAACAAGCACAAACTCTCACTTGCCCACGACAAGCCTAATGAGAAGGGTGGATGCACACTTTGCTACTCTTGATCACTAATGAGGGCTCTCTTTGGGATTCTCAAATCTCAATCACCTCACTAGGACCTTGCTCTTCTTGGCACTCTGTAAGGTGTTTCTCAGCTGTTGAAATGAGCAAAAGTACCCCCACACACGAATGGAGGTGGTATTTATAACACCGGCTGAAAAACGATCCGTTATGTGCATCTGCGGGGTGACCGGACGCTCCGGTCATGTTAACCGGATGCTCCGGTCAGTACACCCCGAACTCCAGTGTTTAAAGTGTGACCGGACGCGTCCGGTCGTGATTTTCCCTCTCTGGAACCTTACTGGAGTCGACCGGACGCTGGCCCTCAGCGTCCGGTCACTTCACCTCTCAGCGTTCGGTCGCACCAGACGAAATCACCTTGGTCAAATGAACTGACCGGACCCTGAGCCAGCGTCCGGTCACACCGGAGCCAGCGTTCCGTCAGTATTTGACCCTCCATTCACTTCCAACTCCTGATCATATGTGAATGAAGTTTGCTCCATTGGATCTAAGGGCTATTTTGGAGCTACCTAGTGCTAGATTTAGCAAGTGTGCACCACACCTAACTCACTAGACTTACCTAGGTCAAGCTACCCGTCCATACCCCCCTTAATAGTACGGCCAAAGGAAAAACAAAGTCCTAAACTACTCTAAGTGTCTCTCCAACTCCAATCGACACTTAGAACTAGTCCATCCTTAACCTTGTCGTCCATCCTTTGAAAACCGAAACGATTTCCATCGTAGGGGCATGACAACCATGATTGCCCAATCGATCTCCATTACCATGACCTAAGTTAATTGCCTCTGCAAAACACACGTTAGTCATAGTAATCTTGTATTGTCATTAATCACCGAAACACAACTAGGGGCCTAGATGCTTTCAGAGGACATGAATGAAGGTTCTAGTGGTAACACCATAATTTCTAGTGATGTAGAAAATGGTGCTACATATATATGAACTTGTAGAAGAGGAAGAGGCATGATCTACTCCTCAAATTCCCTAATGGTATGTCTTTCGCATCCTTGAAAGAAGCAAAGGACTACTACAACTCATATGCAAAGATAATCGGTTTTTTCAAATAGAACAAATATGTCATGGCTATCCCAAATAATGTGTAAAACCAACATTGTTATATATATTGATCACACATTTTTAGTAAAATTTATCTTCAAACAATGACACAATTATAAGAATGGAGCTCCATGTTTTTCCTCTTTAATATAGCTAGATCGAGTGCTAAGCCTATCCTTGAGGAGTAACCAGAAAAAAAAATGTTGTGTTTATTCCGATAAGATGGTTTCCATATAGCCATTATTTGATAGCAGGATGAATCTCACAATACTTGATCAACCGACGATAAGCTTTACTTCAAGAGAAGACCAGGTTACCCCAAATGTAAGTCAAATGTCATCATCTTCAGTGAGGAAAAGCTCTTGCATTTCAGAATCTAACCTTTGTTCATAAGCTTCAATTGACAATGACAGATGAAAAAGGTGATGCACCACTGTTATCCCTATTGCTTTGGCCTGAGTTATGTTTGAATTCTTACCAAAAGAGAAAAGTTCAAGGAATGAAAAATTGGTGACTACCATTCCATAAGTCAACCTAGAAGTACCAGGATTTACCATTGCCAATAATGACTGAAGTAAGCCCACCCAAGAATTTTTGGATTTGCATGCCGCCAAATGTGATTAGGGAGCATATCCAGGAGCTTACAATTGGCCCCGTTCGCTTCGCTGAAAAAACAAGCCGAAACACTATTCCAGCTGATTTGTTGTGAGAGAAAAACACTGTTCCGACTGAAAAAACAAGCTGAAAAGTATAGATTATAAGACAAGCGAACAGGGCCATGTTGGACAGTGGAAGTGTCTATACTATCCTAAATGGGTTGAAGGCAGACTCACTCCCCCTTTTACTTTTGGTGATTTCTTGCCTAGATTATTGACTCTTACAATAGCAGAACAAGTGGCAAGTAACCTGCTATTCAGGTACCTGCAGTCAGGGAAATAAAACCGAAAAAATTACAATCCTAGAGTTGATCAAAAGTCAAAACTGAATCTAATAACCATTAATACAACCAACAAATTCTCAAACTCCCCTTCATTTACTTTTATGGTTGTAGTTTCTGATCTACTAATTCCTCAAAATTTCTTTCAGTAGTTCAATCAAAAGCCTGTCTAATATGATTCAAAATCATTAATTGAACTGAAGAAAGTTTTATTCTTGGATGCATCTGAAGCATACTACCCTCCAAGAATTACACAAAAGATATAAATGTACTTCTATTGTCATATGTGTTAAATGCCAAGGAAGCACAAGAAATACTCTGCTATTGTCAAAGATATTCCAGTTTATGATACTTTATTCTATCATCAATTTGTTTTATAGGGATGGTTGAGGTCATCATAATAGTGGTAGTCAATATTCCACACAGCACAATAAAGGATATGCAAAGCTAAATGTGTGCCTGGAACATCAAACTTGCAAACAACTCCAAACAGAAAGGAAAAAAACCATCAAGCTTGCAGAGTAGTGCACAGTTCAGACATCCAGTTCCATCCATCAGCAACACATAAAAGCAGGCATTTTTCTTTTTAAATTCTAAGACCATACTGATTAATAGTAGCCAACCTGAGAGAATATAACAAAGCTAGAAAGTTACTCATATGACAAAGGAGGTACTAATCTCCTTATATTCAACTAACAATGAGCTGCTTAAGCCTATGATCAGCTCTGATCAATAGTAGTTAACCTGACTACCTGAGAGGGTTTAATAAATCTAGCAAGCTATTCAGTTAACTAAGGTGGTAGTAATCTCCAATAATACATTCATCTGAGTATCTGCCAGTGAGCTCCTTAATAATAAGCTAATCAACTCATGTTTTACGAAGTTTACTTGCCTCCTCGAAATCAATTACAATGGATGGGCAAGTTCGTTTCAGATCCTTGTAGCCTTGAGTTGCCGCCACGGCATCCGTTGCGCTTAAACAGCCAATAAACTCAACGCAGGCATCCCTAAGCATGTCGTAGTTATGTTGATCAGCTAGAGCCAGCGTGGTTGGAACATCCTGCACGGTAAGATTCTCGCAAAGGATGCTTTGACACATGAGCTTTAGGCTTTAGCCTCTCCATGGCGTACCGATCCGCAGCCACAAGCAAGTGGCAGATCATCTCAGCGTAATCATCTGGCTGGAGATCATCCGAAGGAGGCAAAGAATCCGTGTAGATGAAACAGAGAAGGGCCCTGAAAGCATCTGGCTGCACGTCTTCAATGACAATGGGACCTGTTCCTCCCTCCCTGATAGGGCCATAGAGCTGTGCTCTGAAAACAGGCGACCGCGTGGCGAGCACGATCCTGTGCGCCGTGAATTCCTGCCCTCCGACGCTGAAGGTGACATCCGCTCCCTCCATTGTTTCCAGCAGGTTGCCGAAATCCGCTGCGATGTCGGATGGCGGCACCCGGATCCTCGGGAGCGATTTGGTTTCTGATGACAGTGGTCCTTTGAAAACAGTGATGCTGAATTCGATTGTGAGGCAATCGTCCTGAAGGTAGGGCGTGGCTTCAAACAGGTCATTTTTTATCTGGCAGCAAGTAACCGTGGTGTCGCCATAGCCGGGGCGGAACAAGCTGGGTGCAACCTTGTGCACCGATAAGGACGACCCACTGGCCAGGTCGACCAGCTTGAGCTCGAACGACGCCTGCACTTCCTTGGTCTGGGCCTGGCTCTTGAGCAAGAGTACAGCGATAATACAGTCTGGGTGGGAGAATGCAGATGCTGTGCTGCAGCTATCGAGAACCAACTTGATGAACCACTCGTGCCCGCCAACGGAGAACTTGTAGGAATTGATGACCTCCTTCATGCGCCTTAGCTGGCTGAACCCCAGGATGCGAACCACATGCGTGCCTTGCTCCGTCTGCGCGGTAATCGTCGACACCGTCCTCGAGGTCGGCATGTGGTGGTCTGGTTATCGCCGGCGGCGGACCGGGGGACACTATGGACTCTGGAAGCCTGGAGTGGAGGGGAGAAAACCGACAAGGCAGTCACGACGAGTGGGTGCCCTGTGAATCTGAATATAGGAAGCAGTTAAAGAAACGTTCGTTGGAACATCGGATGGTGGAGGGGAGGAGAAGGGGAGCTGGAGGGGACCGAACCTTAGATTCTGATGGGCTGCGGGTGGCCGGAGACTGGTGCCGCGACGGCGACGGTGACGGCGGCCGCTTTGAAGACGAAGGTAACGGCGATTCGGCGAGGAAGGGATTTTTTCTTCTTGTCCTTCTCTTTCGCAAGTCGGCCCCTGTTGAACTTAGTATTTGCTTTTTCCTCTGTATACATAACTTTATTATTATTATATATACCTTTTATCTTCTTTTTCCTTTTCTTTCTCCGAGTTCGATTGGGATGTGGCCGCTTGCTTTGCCCCGGGATCTGGTCAGTTTGTCAAAACGTAATTTTTATCCACTGTCTATAAAAAAAATCATATATACAGTATAAGATTAAAGACTAACAATGTTAGACTTAGAGCTTGTAATCAATATACATACTCGTTAAAATTACCAAGCTATAAATTTATTAACAGCCTAATCTATCAAATCATGGTACGATAAACAGTCAAAATTCACGATCTTCTCTAAGTAGCCTAATAAATTGTACATCGTCTCTCCTACGTAGCCTTGCACATTTAGTGTGGTCTAAATTATCATTGCTTCGAATAGCCGCCGTGACTTGCAAATTATCACCGCTTCCAATAGCCGTCGTGACTTGCATAAAATCAAATACTAAAAATAATATATAAACCATATGTTAGAAACATATAGATTACCAATAGTATTTGTTGCTTCAGCCAAATCATGATCTTCTCCCGGTAGCCTAATAGACGATAACTCACATCTGAAGCAACCACCTGCCTGCAAAGATTCAATGGGATCACCTCTAAATAATTAACATGTGTGCAATGTCCATGCGTGATAGGCTCGAATGATAGAAATCGCATACATGTCATCATACACTATATTGCCTACAGACAACGAGGACAACCATAGTGCTCGAGTGCCCTAAGCTAAAAAAGAAGAAAAAACTAGGAATTTTTGGGCATGAAGCCTATCAACAAGTTTCGTGTTCTCGACAATAGGCCAGCATGTGCAAAACCTCTTTGTTTTATGGCGACTCGTCAACCTTAACTTTGAATTCATGAAAACCTTTACAAATTTATTAGCATTTATTTAATAGAAATCGATAAAAGTATTATAAACCACAGATCAGAAGACGCCTGTTGTAAGCGTATATATATTACTCCTAAAAAGCAAAACCCCACTACATATTTCTCTGTAATTTCGTGAAGCCACATCACCCTGAGAGCCCTACCAAGTCACTAATCTCCATCCATTCAGTCCTCAAGGCATCCGAAAGGTTTGCAGTTTGCATTTATTATGATGTCTGGCTCCTAATAGTTGATCATCCTCACGTGGATTACATGCATGAATATCTTCCTTCGCAACTTCCTAGGAACACGAAACGAGCAGGCAATGAATCCAAACCCCATCCACTCAATGCTGCACGTGTGATGTGAAAGGTCATCTTTGGCTGTGCTTCTTCCCCTGCCATCACCTGCTCATCTCCTAAACTGACCAAGTATATATAACCCCAAGAAGGCAAGGGCGAGTCCTCTGATCCGAACTTACCACTCTTCCTGCCTGTTCGTTTGGCACACAACATTGTCGTCAGAGCAAGCGTTGAGGCGTGGACTCTCTGCTACTGATTTTAATTCACCATTTTTCCACTGGCTATTGGTTGGCAAGGTATAAGAACATGGCAGTTCCTCTTCCTCCAAAAGTTAAGTACGTACTCCTCTAGATTTTCTTTAAGCTACATATATTATTTGATCATTTTCTTAGTATCTGTTGAGATATCAATCTTAACACAACTTCCTAATTTGGTCTGCATGCACATGCCACGTACTTCTGCAGTTCTGCTAGCAATAACGTAAGTATTTTTTATTTCTCAGTGCTTTACGTCATTTGATTTCCCTCTTTAGCACCAACCATTATGTCATTCTATATAAAATGGATTAGTCATATGATTATTAAGGTACAATGATGACTTTTCATTCCCCTAGGAGAAGTACTACGACTACAGCTGAGATTTTGCAAGATCTCTTGATTTTGGAACTCTCATGAATCCTTCCGAACAACTATATAGCAGGTACCACTGTGCTATTTTTCTTAGGTTTATACAGTCTATGGTTGCTCCCTACAGCAAGGCCATGCTTCTATGTTGTCAGATATTCACAGCGCAGCACAGGTAGGTAATGGTCATGACCCACGGTTCACATTAGGAGGAAGATGCCTTCACAAGTCACAACGCGTTCCTTTTGGTAGCAGTTTTCGCAGGCCATCTACACGTCCTGATGACACAAGAACTTCCTCCTACATGTACATCAACATGCAACATACAACCCTTTGCTTCGCCTCCGCTAACCTAATCTATCCCATTTATATTTTAAGAAGAAATAAAGCTACAAAGACAAGCACCGAATGTATCTTGGATCATCAGAAGGTTAGTACTTTCTCAAACCCAATCTATTCTTACCACAAACTGACAATTTTTGTGTTGTACATTAAGTTACAAATATTATCCTCCATAGGTTAGTGACCCATGTCTTCTTTGATGAAGTTGAAGATCCAAGATTAGCATGGTGCCTTTTCTTTAGTTCATTATTGAAATTACTTTTACATTCCTCTTAACTCGATTGAAATTACTTTTACATGCCCGCAGCAACATGCGGGGAATTCACTAGTTTCAAGTGTTTCAGACGCTTAAAGGTACGTTGAAAGTGTTTCATATGGATATTGCACAAATAGATCAGGGGATGTTTGTACATGTTGCATATGTTGCAAGTGTTTCAAAGGCACGTTGCAAGTGTTTCAGAGATTTGTTCAAAATATTTCATTTGTTGCAGACCTATGTTTCAAGAGTTCGATCTGGATGTTGCATATGTTTCACACACATTTGTTGCAATAATATGTTTCAAATTGTTTCAGTCTTATGTTTCAGTAATTGTTTTTGTTTTCATGTTGCAAGTGTTTTATCTGGACGTTGCATATATTTCACATATATGTTACAAGTGTATGTTCCAAATGTTTCATCAATTTTATAGGTACGTTGCATTCAAGTGTTTCATGTTGCACGTGTTTCAAGTTGTTCGGGGAGTCAGGGGACGCGGGGAGTGATGGTGGCACGACACGGACGTCGGGGAATGGGGCGCAACGAGCTAGGGGTCGGTGGTCGGGGCGCACTTGGGGCGGGGTGCGCGTGGGGAGGGGGCGAACGGTCTCGAATCCAGGCGCATAGAGCGGGCTGCGCGTGCGAGGCGAGTTGTCCGGACGCACGGACGCTGTGACAGGGTGCGGTGCGCGTGCGGGGCAGAAAACAAATCAGCGGACTTGGCAGGCTATACGGGCGTCCCGCGTCCATCCAGAGATCCGGGCGCTAGCACTTTGTATCCTGTTACAACTGTTCGATAGCGATTGCCAGGTGCAACTGGGCCTAATCTACCTGCTCCACTCTGGGCCCGATACTTTTGAGTTAGGTTCCTTGGGCCTTTTCCTTCTTGGGCTTTTGGGCACTGCAGTAGTGGTTCCCATGTCCGTGACATTGAAGCGGGGCTCGGCGATGGCGTGGAGGCAGGTCTGAAGCTTTGGCACTGTCTTGGTAAGGAGGCGCACCTCTAGACCGGAGGCGGAGGTCCGCGGTTGCCGTGGGCTCAGGCGCCGGCGGCGTCAGATGCGGGGCGCAAGAGAGACTCGGCACCCGGGCGTTACATCGTCTCAGGTGCTCGCCGGAGGTTCGCCGGATCTACACCGTGCTTCCTGGTTTTCTCCCCTGTCCCCAGTGGCCCAGTCCTGCAGGCGCCGTTGTCGCTCTTCTCGCGCTGAGCGGCAGTCTGGCGGAGAAGGAATAGCTCGCCGTTGCCCAGTCCTGCGGAGGCTCGTTGCCAGCGGCGGCGCTCGCTCCTCACGTTGCCAGCGATGTGGCCTTCGGTCGCACCAAGACTACGTCATCGTTTGTTACTCGTTTCAATTTCTATAGACCAGTGGAGGGTGCACGCCCGAAAAGTGTTCGACGGAATGCGCGGTCAATGCCCCACCGTGACTCGCGCCCGCGGGCCGTTTCCAAGCTCATCTGCTACACCAAACCGGGGAAGGGGACGACGACGCCAGTGGAGGGTGCACGCCCGAAAAGTGTTCAGACTGGACTAACCTCGTCTGCCTCAACAGTCAACACTATCCGTGGATCTGTGGTTCAAATTGACGAGCGCGCGCAGAGGTTGATGCCAATTGGTGACACAGCACAATGACAAATCAGGCTTAATGCCTACACCGTGTCACCGCAAGTGCAGAGTTATTCTTTAACAGGTAATGCCCTGGATCCTGCAAAAGATTCATACATCAGTTTCATCACGTCTTCATATGACTGGCACGTCTTCCACCACGCATAAACTGAAGCATAGAAACAACTGCATAAATCCTTGCTGTAGCGTGCATTACAGCATATGCAGAAGTAGTGTTAACTTAATTGTCTATCACTTTAGTATTAATTATAAATGACTAAAATATTATACCTATTTTTCATTCCAAAACTACACATCACTTCAAATTAAGAATGCCAGTGAATTGAAGAGGGGGAAAAGGTATTGCTAGCCACATAAAAATTCTGGTAACTATTTAAACAAGTAACTTACTAATAATAAGGAAGTATATAGAAATTAGGAATACATCTTCATGTACTATAAGGACTGACCAATATATATTGCCTTTGTTTAGATGAAAATACAACTATACAAGCCATATGACATCACATATATCAGCAGGGTCTTCCTCCTCACTATGATTCAAACATAGCCGCCTGAATTGGTCTTGGCGGGAACATGTATTCCATAAGGTATTTGTTTATTCTGCAGCTTTACTTCCTAGTCAAAGTTGCCCACGTTACCACAACAAACACATAAACTCTGTCATAGAGGTTGTCAAAGAGCCGGAAATAAGCAATTCTCCATGACTTCATGAACAACAGTAGACAAAACACCATCCACAGCCCCACCACAAATCCCAATGTAAGACCAAGATACAAGGACAAGGGTTCGAGTTCGTGCCCGTTGTTTCTGTTCTGACCATCGGTGGGTGTATCATTTCCTGATGAACAATTCTTCTGAAGAGGGGGCCCACAAAGTCCATCATTGCCGATGTACATAAGTGATGGATTGTCCACACTGAGGGTATCAAGTTGCCTACCTGAGGGTATCCTTCCAGACAAACTGTTGTATGACAAGTTCAAGTAGCTTAGTGATGTCAAATTTGATAAGTTTGGTGGGATTTCTCCAGAAAGATGGTTCTCCGAGAGATCAAGTGATTCCAATGACTGCAAGGCCCCAATTTTGTTAGGAATTTTTCCAGTCAGGCGGTTGGATGATAGATTCAGATTTATTAATGCATCAAGGGAAGTGATATCCAAGGGGATTTCACCGGTCAAAGAGTTGCCTGATAAATCAATGTTTATGAAATATGCCAATGTGCGACCATACCTAAGCAGTTGCCCTTTCATAATTATTGGTATGATTTCTCCAAACTGACCAGTTATGAACATGCCTTCCCCTGAAAACTGAGGATCTCCATCTGGGAAAGGACCCATTGTTGTACCCGATAAAAGCCTTGACCCCTTCAATGTCATAGCTGTCAGGCTTGACAGATGCCAAGGTATAACACCAGATAAGTTATTGCTTGATAGATCCAGGTATTGCAGATAGCCAAGATTTGTGATTTCTGCTGGAATATTTCCTGAAAATGTATTGTGGCTTAGTCGAAGAAACTGTAAATTTGTCAGTTCCCCAATCCATTCAGGTAACCTTCCAAAGAAGTTATTCCATGCAAGATCCAGGAACTGTAGGCCCGTGCACTTCTGCAAAAATGCTGGGAATTCTCCTGACAAACTGTTATTGCCTAGAAGCAGGAATTCTATAGATTGACTGGATTCAGTCTCAAAACATCGTGGAATTTCACCCTCCAAAAGATTGTTTGACAAGTCTAGGTCAGACAGCAGATTCAGTTTGCACAAAGATCCTGGAATGCTGCCACCAATTTTATTTGAATACATAAGCAATGTTATCAGTTGTGGAGCTCCAAGATTCGAAGGTAGTGTTCCTGAAAATGAATTGCTGGACATGTCCAAGATGGAGATATTTGTTGGTAGCGGTGGTATTGGTCCACTAAGCAGGTTTGAACTGATGTTTAGCTCTACAAAGGCCATGTCAGCTAGATTTGCCGGCAAGCTTCCACTTAACTGATTGTTAGAGAGGTCGATATATATGGCATGTGAAAATGTAGGCCAGAACCAATCGGGAATCTTGTCCATTAGAACTGTACTTGAAACGTCAAGTTTAGTGATCTCTGGCTGCCACTGAAGCCAAGCAGGAAAAAGAGGACCCATTTGGCAAGATGCAAAAAGTGCAACCTCCAGGCTGAAGATAGGGATCCAATCTGTATCCACTGACAGCTTCAAATTTGTTGAAGATAGGTCTAGTTTCTTTAAGCTGATTAGAGCTGCAAAGTGTTCTTCCATGATGATACCGCTGAAGTTGTTGCTGCTTAGAACCAACCAAGTCAAATTAGTGAAGGCTCCGAGTTCCGTAGGTACACTTCCACTGAGATGATTATTGGACAAATCAAGGGTGACCAAACCAGTTAGACTCCTAAACTCTGGTCCTAGAGGTCCAACAATTCTATTGTTGGAGAGGTCGAGGGTGTTTAGGTGTGTGCAGTTACTGAGCTCTGGTGGGATGTTTCCAGCAAGGTTGTTCTTGGAGAGGTCAAGTACAGTCAATGCGGTGAAGCAGCCTATCAAATTTGGAAGGGTTCCAGTGATATTATTAGAGCAGAGATGCAGCTCCTGCAGTGTATCCCATACACATTGTGGCAACCTCGCCATCAATACCGCTATGTCTCCACTCATTCCATTGTCAGTGAGGTCTAGGATTTCCAAACTACATAGGTTCTTAAAGTTTCCTTCCATGACCAGCCCTTGATTAAGACCGAAGGACAAATCAAGGACTTGGAGAGATGTCATGTTTTCTAGTGCATCATGAAATTGGCCAAATAACCTGTGATACCCAAGATAGAGGTATCTGAGGCTCGTCGCCTTCCAAAACCAACTAGATGCAATTTCGTGGTCAAAATTATTACCCGAGAGATCAAGCTTATTGAGTTTTGTGAGATTTAGTAGAGGAAGTGATTGGTTTGCACTAGCAACCGAGCAGGATGAAAGATCAACGACTCTCAGAGATGGAATCCTATTTAGCACATGAGGCCAGTTAGATACCTGTGAGAGATTTACATTGCTCATGCCAAGGTATTGTAAAGGTAGATGTTGCAACCAAGTGATGTCTGCTGAGTACATCCTGTGACCTTGATCTTGGGAGCCAAGATCAAGGTACTGCAACTCAGACAGATTACCAAGCTGAGGAGGCACTTCACCGCTAAATGGTATACCAGAGAGATTCAGATATCTCAGACTCTTCATCAGGGCCAGGAACAGAGGTATAGTCTTTTGATGCTCTGATGTCAAGCAATTCCTGCTGAGGTCCAAGTGCTGTAGTTGTTCAAGGGAAAGCAGAGAGGGACTTATGTCGCCGAACAGAGCGTTTACGTCGTCGCATCCGGTGACGGAGCTGGTGCTTGGATTTCGATTGCCAAGGTCAAGCTCGAGGATGCGGCCGGTATGGTTGCTACACCTGACGCCTCTCCACCGGCAGCAGTCTCTACCGTGCCATGAAGCGAGGCGGTTGGTGGGGTCAGCTGTGATGCCCTTCCTGAAGGAGAGCAAGGCGGCCCTCTCAGCTGGGATGCAGCCGCTGCGATGGGAGCCATGTTGTTCAGCTTGAAGCGCAGCGACAGTCAGGAACAAACTGGTGTCTATGATGAGGATCAAGAGGAGGACGAGCGAGGAATTGGTTGTTCTGGGATGCATGCTGGGAAAACAGTGTAGCAAGAAGGCCGAGAAAGGTATGAGCTGCTTCGGTGCCCTGCCCCTTGTTTTATAGCTCCGTCCCTCCACCACAGCTGTTTGAAACATTCCCCTGCTTCTACTGATGTTCATATTTGTATTAAAAATTGATGATTTTAGAGGGGCTACACCGCAGGGAAGGTTAAACAAAGGAGCTTTATGGGCTTTGACCGTGGACTAGTCCGGAGCCGCAGGACCCACGTCTGCCGGTCTTTATGGGCGAGCCGCAGGACCCACGTCTGCCGGTCTTTATGGGCTCCGGACTCCCATGCCCCGCGCGTGACCGTCTCCAGAAGAGGAGGATGCCCATGCCCCGCGCGTGTTTAGTTGGACCTTAAATTTCAAAAAATTACTACAGTACCTATCATATCAAATGTTTGTGGTTTATGTATAAAGCATTAAATGTAGACGAAAAAAAACTAATTACACAGTTTGATGGGAAATTACGAGACGAACGTTTTGAACCTAATTAATTCATGTTTAAACACTAATTGCTAAATAAAAACGAACGTGCTACGATTGCTTCAAATTCCAAGTTTCTGGAACTAAACACGCGCCCAGCCCACCAAGGGATAGGATAGGAGGGTCACGGGCGCAGCGAAGACTTGCCTTGTCGTGCGTGCGGGAGACGTCATGGTCCACGGCCTCAATGCTGTTTGGTTCTTTAGACCGGATTTTAGTCTTTGTACCATCGAATGTTTGATATATGTATAGAGTGTTAAATATAAATTAAAAAAATAATTAATTACACATATTACGACTAATTTGTAAGATGGATTTTTAAGCCTAGTTAGTTCATGATTTGATAATGTGTTGCTACAGTAAATATGTGCTAATGATGGATTAATTAGGCTTAATATATTCATCTCGTAAATTAGTCTACTCTTGTGTAATTAGTTTTTTAATTAACTCATATTTAGTTCTCCTAGTTAGCATTCGAACGTCCGATGTGACACGGACTAAACTTTAGTCCCTGGATCTAAACACCCCCTAATGGGAACACAAAGGGTAGTGTGGCGCGTGTTCAGTTCCACCCCAAATTTTCAAAAAGTGCTACAATATCTATCACATTGAATATTTGCGGCCCGTGCATGGAGCATTAAATATAGATGAAAAAAAACTAATTGCACAGTTTGATGGAAAATTACGAGACGAACGTTTTGAACCTAATTAGTCCATGATTGAACATTAATTACCAAATAAAAACGAAAGTGCTACGGTAGCCCTAAATTCCAACCTAACTAAACACGCGCTGAATAGCCATTCGACCGCGTTGAAGGAAAGGAATGCAAAACAGAAACAGGCCAGATTTTGGGGGCCCGTCGGCCCTGTCGTGAGTAATGAAAACGCATTCAAACGAAAACAACAAACTGACAAGACAGACCAGCCAAACAGGAATGCGCTACGTAAGCTACTACTCCTTCCCCACGGAGGAAGGTTTGGCCAACACAGAACAGAGTCAACAATCAGTTGACTCAAACGTCCAAACAGATGTGTACACCTGGTGCAGCTTGTGGTGAGTGCTAGGACCAAGTCATTAGCGGCTTAAGTAACTTGACACAGTCACACCGTAATGTCCAAGTCCGACATGAAGTTGTGATTTTTTTTACTTTCAAAGTTTTTTAAACAATATTTTAGCTAGCGCAACTATATTGGTGTTTCGTGTACGGTCTCATACAGTGCCACGTAATTTAAAGACGATTTAATAGACAACATATACAATGGTTGTTTTTAAGTATCTCTTTATAGTAACTCATAATTTCTTAATTTGTGCATAGAATAAAAGTAAGTTATAAGTTGCATGACCACAACTCGTACATTGATACAATAGTTGTCTTATAATTCTAAATCTTAACTCATGAGGTAGTTGTTTCGCGAAATAATAACCTCTTTTTCTCTCCTCTCTCTCTTTTCTCTACGTCAGCAAAAATTCTACATGACACTACATGAGATGGAGTATGAGACCGTTAATGTGTAGCAATGTACTTGCCCTTAACTATAGACCGTATAAAAAGCTATTTACAGATCTAACACTTTTGATCGTGATAGATCGTTGATCATAACAAAATCACTCTATCGTGCCACGATGCAAATCACTTTATCGCGCCACAATGCATTGATGCGGATGTGACGAGGTATATTAAACTCCATAAAGCTCCTAGAATCGGCGCATTCTCAGCACCCCTGGTACTGTTCACTGCCACGTGCTCTGTTCCGAGAGCTCATGAGTGTCGAGGCCTCCCTTTGGTGTCCTATGATTGCCTGCCCCGTTTATGTGGTTGGGTCCGCGCATCGACCTCCTCCACGATATCTTCCTCGCTCCTCCGCTCACCTGCTTCGCCTCTTCCTCGCTCCCTCCGTCGCCTCGCCTACGGATCCGCGCCACGCTAATTGGCGACACCGCTCTCTCTCTGCCGGAAGGGGAACGTCGATGGGCCCTGGTCCATTGGACACAAAATCCATCTTTTCCCCACCGCTTCGCCTACCTCTCCGTCGGACCCCGACGTAGGCGACGACAATGAGGTGCGCCGCCCTACCGCCATCAGACGAAAGCAGAACAGACTAGGGTGCTTGTCGTTGGGCGGCGGCCGCGTCACCGCGGAGATGTCGTGCCCGGCTTCCCCATCGGTTCTCCTCTCCGCCCGGCCGCGGTGGCTGGTTCCACCATACAAATCCGAAATCTGCGGTGGTGTCCGTCTAAATCTTAGCCATCGTCATACTCAGTCGCTCCTACATCGTCTCTCTCCTCGACCCGTGAGGTTGCAGCTTCTCGGATTCGTGGCAATGCTTTTTTCACAGAGGCATCCCCATTGAGATGAAAAGGTTTAGTAGGACCCCTTATGCTTCACCACAACCGAATCCCAGTCTAAAATCCAAATCCCTTGTTTGTTTATTTTTCATTTGTCTTTGCGTTCACGACGTCGTGACATTTCTCCATTCCCCTCTCTCTAATCCATGCCTACATATGTATATGAGTAATCGTTTGCCATATATGTTTTTTTTACGCAAAGTTTGCCATATATATTGCGGGATATGGATCTTCTTCCCATCTTCAAATTTGGTTGTTCTAATCTTAGTTTTTTAACTCCTTTTCACTTTCTTGACTAATCAAGAGTTCCAGACCTTCTACTCAACCATGAAGATCCAATGTTTTTGTTTCCGTAATTGTAATTTCCTCTCCGTGCTCAGCATGGTCAGGTTAGAACATTATTACCCGTTTCGATTCACCTTTCTTTCTTCTTTAGTGTGTACATGTCCTCATGCCCATATCAGTTAAAATAGTTCTTCTCATGCAAGGTCATTCAGACGTGTCCATTACTGATTTACATTCCAAAATTGATCTCTAAACATCGTCATCAAAGTAAGTGTATATTGTTGTTTTATCGCACCAAACTCGCTACATTTTTTTTGGTTGACCTAATATATGGACTGTATTATGAGGACCTTGCTTGCTTCGAAATATTCTAAAAGGAGGAATGTTTAGACTTCGCTGCGATAGGATATAGTATTAATGAGACTGCTTTAGATTCAACAACCAAGAAGATTGTTCGTAATTGATTCAAGACTTCATACGTATACTGTTTGAAATATTCAAGCTTCACATATTGAAAAAGAAACAACATTTATCATTCATGGTCTAATTTTGCTTCATATAAGATTAAATGTCATTCCTACCTAGCACATTTTACTGTAGTAGCGTAGCATCCTAGGTTTGCATTTTGTAGACCCCTAAACATAATACAGGGACTTTTCTTGCAGAGCAGGTACATATCAATTTCATTGATTCTTTCCCATATAGACAGTCGTCATTGTGCTTTCGCACTTAGTTATTTGTATCCCATAACACACAGTCGTCATTGTATCCATAAATAAAGTACTTAAATACAGAACATGAGAAACAATGTAGAGTGTACATGTGAACATCAAAGACCTTGTGCCCGGCTAATCTTAGTGGTATATTGCTTCCATTCGCTGCAATAAGATAGTCAAGCCGCAAACATGTGTTTATCTAATACGCTTCTTCAAGATCAACATCTCCTTTCATTCTCTTTCACTGATTGGAAGACGTGTTTGCATCTTGATCATATACAAAATTAGCGTTACATTTTTCAGATGCATTAGTCATGGGTTTGTTGGTTTTGATTGATCATGCTTAACTCCATGGTTGTCTAAAATTACATGTTCATCATTTAAGGCGGTCTACCTCAGCGTCTAGCATGCAGACGACCAACAACATCGATGTACTAGCCAAGCACCGCATCGAAGCAAACTCTTCCCCACTCTCTTAGGTACTCCAATTTCTTCTCTTCGCCCTTTCTAATTTCCTCTACCTCCTGATTTCCCCAAGATTGAACTCGGTTTCCTATTCTAGGATTGCCGGATTTAGAGTGGTCTCTCAGCTTGGCCACTCCGGTCCACTTGCCATGCTCAGTCCGTGAACATAGATCCCCGCTTCCCCCTACCACGTCTATAGCCAACCCCTTACAGATACTCCAAAATCCTTTTCTTAAGCCAACCCCTTACAAATACTCCAAAATCCTTTTCTTAGGATCTTATTTCTTTCTTCTTTGCAAGGTCTTAGTTTGGTTGTTTCAAAGTGTGCACAAAAAGGTTTGGATGTTTTTGGAGGATGTAAATATAAAAAAAAAAAAGTGGTAAACAGAGGTGGAAATGAATGTCTTTGTAATTTTCAGTTTTGCATCTTGATTAACTAACCTGTTATAACACATTTCCTTCTGCCATCTCTTTTGTTTCAATCAACCGCCACTTCTTTTCCCTTTTGCGTTCCTCTAGCCTGGCCAAACTATACTACATCGATGCATGGTTGATGACTCTTTGACAAGATAGTAAATTTGTTACTCCCTTAAGGCTAAGCGGACTATATATGACCGGAGGAGATCCCTCATTTTTGCAAAAGCTTCAGATGACATGCAGCTTGGGTGAGCCGCCATGTCAAGCAACTA